CGACTGCACACGAGATGTATATATAATCGAGCATCGATCGATCGACGGAGTAAGAAGATCTCCGGGGCCGGAGGTGAGGGCGAGACCGGTACCCGTTGCCGGCCGGCCGGCCGTGGCGTCGCTGGCGCGGCGATTCACGCGTGTCTCCGGGGATCTACGTACGTACGAGAGCGACGGGTGAGGATGTCGATCGCCCCCCGCCGCGCCCTACCGCGCTGTCCGTTCGGTTTCCTGTCACGCTGTCGACTCCTGCGGTTTGCCTCCCCCCTATCGCTGCTCTGACGTACCCCCCTCTACGACCTAAACCTACACCGTTGCTGCGAAATTCACTGCCTCTAGGCAGGTGAGCGGGCGCCGTCAGTACCCATCACGACGAGGCATGTACGCACGGACGGACCCTAACCCTAGTTAGCTCCACAAGTTTCAGCCGGGGCGGCATGCATCATCAGAAGGGAAACGACTCGGTCTCCGCAACTAGATTGGTTTTGTCAATTGTGCCTCCGCTATAGCTCGTTAGGTGCGTACGCTCTGCATCTGTGCTCCTGCTATTCACTGGTCACAGATTCACCAAACAGTCATTAAGCCTAGGCTACTGCTACATGATCTACTAACAGTTGCTTGAGCAGTGCTGCTAGATCTCGACCGATCGATCGATCTAGCTCCGGCGATGGATGGATACGCGTCGACAAGCACCGAGTGAATGTGGCCGTTTGACCTAACAAATTAACCAGCAGTACAGCGACAGGCTCCTGTTTGGATCGACCCCGCTCATCTTTCTTCCTAGATAAGAATCATTGTACCGGCTGATTGCTCCGTCGGCGTAAAATTAACCCTAGATAATCCAGTTCCGCTTGTTGACGCTCAGCCAGATCGATGGGAGCCAATTGTCCCAGACGTCAGAGTTGGATCCTAGTTGCCGCCAAGCATGCACGCACGCCCTGATTCATGCTCCTCGCACTGGCCGACCACTACCAAAGGTTCTACGTAAGTACCACCTCTGTTTATTTTTATAAGACGTTTTAGACTTTCAAACACTGTTCAAAAACAGCACAAAGCAAGTTGTCTGAACGTCTTATAAAAACAAACGGAGGGAGTAAGTACGTTCATGTTAGCCACAAAATGCACCGATCCAACTTAGATTCCTTGGGTGATCCGTGCACTCGAATAATCACCGTGGGCCTAGCAGAGCATGCATTATTTTTCATCAGAGACTCGACCGAAGGACCTCGTTGAATATGAAACACGCAGCCGGGGACAAGATGTCAGATCATATCGTGAGTGGATCGGCAGCACGTCAGTGTGGTTGCCACTCCTGTCCAGCACGGACGCGCGCACGTACGTGCACCTGCACTGACAGGTGACAGCAAAAGGACAAGGGGCGCTGGCGATGGCAGGCAGGCAGGCCCATCCGACGAAGACGCATGAATATATCTCGTACGTACGGCGGAGACCATGCCGGAACAGCGCGTCTGGACGTTGTCAAGGCGCACGTACCCCGTCCGGTGGGCCAACGGCGGTGGGAAGCCGGGCGACCCGTCGGACGGCGTATGGCGGTGTACGGCCACACCACACGTCCTGTTCCGAGCATGGGTGGAAGTCCAACGGAACAGTGCGCCGCAGCGTGGCGCGAGCACGTCCGTGGGCAGTGCGCTGGCTGCTCGGACCGCACGTACGGCTTGCGCCTGCTCGCCGAGGTTGATGGCCGGCCCGTACTCGTGCCTGATCCAAGCGCACCATCGCCGGCGGTGGGGGACACCCGGGCTTGTCACGCGCCGTTGTGCCTCCAGAATATTTTTGGACCGGTATTGTTTCGGGTCCATGATGTGCATGCAGAATTCTCGATGCCCCGAACGAAGGAGCGAAACGAAAAGAACTTGTCTAGATCTCAGGCGACTGAATTTTTACCAAGTCTCATTCAAATGATATAACATGTAATAGAGAAAAAGAAATAAATAAATTTTAGACGGATTTTAATGTAAGATTTCATGGATACATCATTAACTGAGACTGAACAAAATATCAGTCGACCGAGACTTAGCAAGATCGAAACCTGGATGGTCATAAGCAAAACCAGGACTTGAATGCTGCTAATTAACCTGCCATATATATACTCATAAAAGAGCTGGGAGGACACGTACAGCACACTCACGAGAGGCACGGATGTCATGCAGGGGCGAGAGAAAATTACTGCTGCATACATGTACGTGCCCTGCGTTCCGGACAATGTCGTGCGTACGTCTCATACCCCGGAAAACACGCATAAACGGACGTACTCCTACTACGAGTACGTACGTGCTAAATAGCTCGCACGGATGAGACGCTGGTAGGACACGGCGGGGCAGGCGGGGGAAAGCGACGGCGCCTTCGAGCGAGCCCGACGCCGACGCGACAGGCGGACGTGTGCGGATGGACAGCAAAACAAACCCCCCACAAGTGCATCTCAGCGACTCTTCAGCCCAGTCCCCGGCCATGCAGCCACCCTCTGTTTCTTTTCCTCTCCCGGGGCCACCCACGTCGTCCCTTGATCACCAGCGGCGTCGTCGTGTACACATACACCAATCCGATCTGCACAGATGAGCCCGGTCTGACTCGACGTAGCCACACGTCCACGTACCAATCCGGGCAGGATTAGCACCGGGCCGTACGTGCTAGGGCGCGCGCGGGCGCAACGACCTACCCAACCCGTCGCTGATCGCCATTACTGGCTAGGCTAGATAGCCTGCCGCCCGCGTCGTACGTCGTGGCTAGCCATCGCCTATCGATCGGGGAGGTGGCGCGCGCGCGGCACCGGGCCGGGTCGGGTCGACCGCGGACGCTGCCCGCGCCGCGGCACCGCAGACGTGGCCGGCCGGACGGACGGGGCAGCTGGCCGAGCGGGCGTGATGTGATCGCGCCGTGGTCCTCGTGACGCCGACCGCGGCTCGATCGCGTACGAACGTCCGCTGCCCGCCCAATTAATGTGTCATGGACTACACTCCTGGCGCTACGCACGTACCCTCTGCCAGTTGCCCTCGGAGAAAAACCACGTGCATATTTTTGGTTTTTTGTAAACAAGTTTGATTAGGCACACTCTTTTTAAGATATACGGTCAAACTATGTGCAAATTATGAAATGCAGTGAACTGTGTGGCTGCACGCTCTTCAATTTAAAATACCGTGTTAAGTTGTCTGCAAATTGGGCGAACGCAGCGTACTGTGTGGCTTGTGCAATGACCCTTCTCGCCGGATCGGATTGGTTAGTTAGGAATGTCTGCCATGATATCGTGACAACTAGCGTTCCGAAATGGGGGCCTAGGTGGGCGGTTCTATATAGCCACCTTGAATGGAAGCCGAACTTGTGCAAAAAATCATGAGGAGTTGGTTCGTTCACGGTGTGCCCACTTGCCCTGCATGTTTCGGGCAACACTTCGCGACAAGTAGCTCCACACTCCCATGGCCTTTCCCACAAATATCTGAAATGAGCCCGTTGCACAAAACACGTTAATACCAACAGCTCCTCAATTCGGATAACATAATAAAATGTCAATACTAGAGTTTGAATCGTCACGCCGTGTTATCTAGAACAGTTTTGCTAAAGCACATCTAGATGTGCTATAAGTATTGCACATCTAAATCCTATGTCATTGATCTTACGTTGAGATTCGTGCGGATACTTTCTTTTTCTTTTTTTCCCTCTTTATGATTGACTCACTCACTTAGATGTGCAATAAGTAGAGCACATCTAGATGTGCGCTAGACACACCCTATCTAGAAGGTCCCGAAGGTTGCATTCAGCAACGGTTGTTAGGAGTTTGTTAGCACCCGATTCATAGTTGTATACGCTATCAAGGTAAGGGTACTACGAAGGGTGTAACGCTTCAAGTTATTAGAAATATGTGTCATATGTCACCTGTCAAAAGAAAGGGTCTGGTGCAATGCATGGATACCTGGTCAAATTTGAAATATATCCATTGATACTATTCATTTTTATTTATCTCTTATCGAGTCTAGAAATTTCAAAATCCTCTCTTGCACGCAAAATCGCCTTATTCACCGTTGTTGCTATTACCACGCTATTCACCTCCGAAGATGTTTTCGTCACGTCTACCCTAGCCAACCTCCTATAACTGTAGCACGTTGATACCGTCCTTGACTTCTCTTCAACAAATCTTTTATCTAGCTCCCTCTGGGCTCTGACGGTAGCTTATCAACCATCCTCACTGCACTCGCCTCCCCTTGCATGCATCGACAACCCTAAGCTTCATAAACAAGATTACATATCTGGTCACCAACTATGATGTATCCGCTCTTCATTGACCATGACTCCACCGTTGCACCCCTCAAGCAAAGGCCCCCATGAGGACGTTAGGCAATCGGTGGGAAGAAGAAGCATAGGAGGAAGACAAAGAGCTTGATTTATTACAAAAACACACACAATTTAGGATGAGAATTTGAAAGCTTTTATAAATTAGAATTGAATGTTCCACACACAACCAAGAAATACCCGATTAAACAAATCAAATAAATTTTGAAGTGCAGACTCGAGCACATGCTGCTTAACTTTTCGAGTAATGTCACGACAACAAGAGCGCCACAACTCTATTAGAAGAAGGAAATTAATAACCCTTTTGCTTTACATAAAAATCATAATGGAGAAAACATAGCTGAAAACCAAAGAAATAAATAATGACACGAGTGCACATAGTGAAGCGTCCCGTTCGATAGATGCAAGGTTTCTATACACGCTAGTACGAGTACATCCATGGCATGGAACATTTTTTGTGCAAGGGTATTTTGGTCAACATTTAGAAGCCAGGGGCACTTGCGTAATTTCACGGGCAGCAACGATCCATCGGTTGCAGATATTTACCCGCTATCCTTGTGTGATGCAGAGGCCAAGCTCATTGGGTGGAGCTCTTGGCGCTCCTAGCTCGTCGACAAGCACACCCACAAAGCCACTGATAATAAGCACACAGCAGCGCGCGCTCTTATAGTAGAACGTTCTGAACTCCGCACCAGCCCATGCAAGACTTCCAGTCCATCCCGGGCCTCGCCGGGCGGCTGTTCGGCGGCGCGGCGGCGGCGGACATCCGGCGCGTGCAGGGCCCGGCGTCCCGGTGCGGCGTGTTCTCGCAGGCGGCGTCCGCGCAGCCGGAGGCGGCCGTCAAGTGCCCGCGGTGCGAGTCCACCAACACCAAGTTCTGCTACTACAACAACTACAACCTGTCGCAGCCGCGCCACTTCTGCAAGAGCTGCCGCCGGTACTGGACCAAGGGCGGCGTCCTCCGCAACGTCCCCGTCGGCGGCGGCTGCCGCAAGGCCAAGCGCAGCTCCTCGTCGGCGTCCGCACCGTCGACGCCCGCGGCCACGGACGCCAAGAGCCAGCGACGCGCGTCCGCGTCGTCCTCCTCCCGCTCCAACAGCGGCAGCGGCAGCGCCAGCCCCACGGCCGCTGCGGAAGAGACGACGACAACGGAGACCGAGCCCCCTCCTCCGCCCACGCCGTCGTCCAACTCCAACTCCAACGCGGTCTCCTTCGCCAACCGCATGACGAACTACCCCTTCGCGGCAGACGTGCCACCTCCGGCGCCGATATTCGCCGACCAGGCCGCCGCGCTCGCGTCCCTCTTCGCGCCGCCTCCTCCACCGCCTCTCCCGGTGTTCAGCTTCTCGGCGGAGCCCAAGATGGAGGAGGCGATCGGGTCACTGCTGCTCCCGGGGCAGGAGGCGTCGCAGGAGCCAGAGGAGCCCACCTGCACCTCCACCGTCGCGGACATGGCGCCGTTCATGTCGCTGGACGCGGGGATCTTCGAGCTCGGCGACGCGTCGCCGGCCGATTACTGGAACGGCGGGAGCTGCTGGACGGACGTCCAGGACCCGTCCGTCTACCTACCCTAGTTTGGCTTAGTTCCTCATCACGATTGCCTTAATTAAGCTGCGGTTAAATGCTTCTTAACGACGACCAACAGCTAGCTGGTAAGTACTATAGCACATGTAATGCTACGTGTACGTACGTACTGCCTGCACTTGTACCGTACCTCTTTGTTCTTGTGGCATTTCTGTGGCTGCACATCACAGGTTTGTGTAAGAAAGCTAACCATTGTGTCGCTACAACCGAATCACATTACCACTTATTCTTGCTACTCTTTAGATTGTGATTGTGTGAACTTCTCCAATGCATGTTGTACCCCTAAATTGTTGGCCTGTCTCAGTATTCTCTCATACTCTTTTCTGTAACATAAATCGCTTATGTGAATTTGGGAAAAATATATAGAATACATAGATTGCGGCGTAAAGTTGTGCAATGTTTTCAAACATATATTTAACTTTTTTCTGCACGGATCACGGTGTCATACACGCATATACCTCATCCGTAATTTCACATATATATTTAAAAAAATCAGAACCTACTTGGAAGTTGGAGCTATATTTTGTCTTTCCAAAACCGGAAAGAGTGTTGAATAATCTTAGAAAACATCGAGAAAGAAAATAAACGAAGAAAAATAGTTTGAGTCGGATCAAGGGGCGCAATATTAATCTCCCTTTCCATTATGAAAATTTGATTTGTTTTTCTTCGCGACAAGGCCAAAGCTATATAAGATTGGGGCGTTATAGTTTTCCTCCGAAGAACGCAATCATGTTAGGGCTTTGTCGTCTGGTCGTAGTTCGGTGGTTGATTTGCTGAGTTTATGTTAGGTTATCGTGGTACTTAAATTTCGGGCCTCTCGTTCTCCGGGGAGTTTGTGTTGATGGGGATGGCACTGGCGGGCTAGCTGGCGCTTACGTACAGTACTGGTTCTGTGTAGGGTACATCGGTACAGTACAGAGTGCGCGTACATCCGCTGGCCCCAGCGGCCTCGACCGATCGGCATGGCGCGACATACCTGCTCGCGTGCGCCCTCACGCCAACTTGGACCGGTCCCGTCCCGTGTCCACACCACCACTGCTACTATAGTAGTAGGAGTAGTAGTTTCCCAGGACCAAACCCAAGTGTTTGGCGGGCATCATGATTCATGAGCTAGGTGCAGGTCCGCCGGAAGGCGACGTAAACCGCTGGCGAACCGGTGCGGCGCGCGAGTCAAAGCATTAAGGAGACGGTGGTCCCGTTTCGTCAGCGGGGGTCGTTGTTCCGTTGACAGTCATGGCCGGTGCACCGTACGATTTGTCCGTTGCGTGATTGCGTCCCACCCCAGTACACCCACTCCTGCCCGTCTCGGATCGGGGCTGCGTTGCCTGGCTCCGGCCGGGACACGGGTTCGGGAGGAATAGTCGCCCCTCCTCCCGTCACGCGTCGGCCCGTGCTGCTGCACCCGAGAGTCGTCACGCACGCTCGACCGAACGCGCTGCTCAGATTGCTTGGATTTTGATGGAGAGGACACCAAGGCCCCCGAATCTTGACTAGATGGATTGGCGATCATGTCGCTCAAGATTTTCGTCGAGACTACGTACGAAGTTGACGGGAAACGGAAATCTGCTAGCACGGTGCCCCTGCATATCTGCCAAACTTATACAGTATATCCAGGATAAACACACCATGCATAGATTAGAGCCTAGCTAGACTATCTCTGCACCGGAGAGTCCAGCTACCGGACTAGGGAGCAATGATCGCTTCGGGCTAAAGAAATCTTTAGGGATGCTAAAGAAATCTTGATACGGGTCAGGGTCGACTTATCCACCATTTACGGCCCACGGTCGAGGGGCTGCGTGAAGGAAAAGAATCATCGCATCGTTGTAGCTTGGGCCGAGCTGTGGCAAATTTTCGTGTTTTGAACTTTTTCTGGAACCTATTTAATATTTGATCCTAGTTTGAATTTTTTTTCAAAATCTGACCCTTTTGCTACCGTCAGAGCCTTTGGTGGTAGGGTCTAACAGCTTACCATCAGAGACTTTGGCGATAGGAAACATCGTCACCGCCAACCGGGCTGACGGTAGCCTGCACAAACCTACTGCCAAGGTGTTTGACGGTAAGCATGAGCGCGCACTGTGTTCAATACTTACAAGGTTTTTGGCGGTAGGGCATTGCAACCCTACCGTCAGGGACTTTGGCGGTAGGCTGTTATATCCTACCGTCATGGTCCCTGACGGTAGCAAAAGGGTCAGATCTTGAATTTTTTTCAAACTAGAATCAAATTTCGAATAGGTTTCAGGAAAGAGTCGAAACACGAAATTTAGCCCGAGCTGTCCCGCCATGACCCACTGCGATGAGACGTGAGAGGTACAGCGGTTGCGTCTGAACAAAGGACTGAGCTGTAACTGTGCAGTAAGACTGTGCCATGCCGCCGTGTCCTGCCCGGTCCACGTCGCGCTCGCAGGTCCCGTCAGCGATGAAAACTTTCCGCTGACTGCTCCCTCCCTCCCCCGTCGCCCATCCACACCTGCTCCACTCCACGACCGCCCAACACAAAAAATCAGACGCATAATCCAGTAACAATCAGTGCTTCCCCTGTTAAAGAAAGAGAACCATCGTTACGTTTTCTCCAGACAGTGTTGATTGCTGCCGACCGTCCGATCAGAAGCGGCTCGTCTCTTTCGTCCGCGGCGATGGACCGATGGTCACGTACGGACACAGTGGCAGAACAGTACGTACAACAGTACACGCGGTGCCACGGAGGAACAGGAATTTTCCTGCTTACCTCGTGGGCAGTCGTCACAGATACGGTATCTTCGCCCAGGAATTTTTATGGCCATGCTCATGCTGTCACAGGCACTGCGGCGGCGAAGCAGCCTGTGGCGTCGATCAGCCATCAGCCATCACTCCGAACTCTGACGAGGTGCACAGTGGTAGCGGCACTGCGGTACAGGCGCTATTGTTCGTGCATTTACTGCTGCAGTTCGTGGCGATGGCAGAGGCGCAGGACAGGACGGTACTGTTCGGAAGTTACTGTGATCCCAGGAGGTAACTGGCGATCCATCACTCGGCTCCATTGACTCCACTGCGCCTGCGGGCAGGGCAATGAAGACGTGGTCCTTGTACTCAGTTCTTCAGAGTGTGGCTGGTCGATCGCCGCTTCAGAAGGTAGCCGCGGAGAGGCCCGGTGCGGAGATGGCCGGTGATGAGTGGATGGACGCGTGGGCGATCCGGCGACCGCGACCGATCCGTCTGTTGTGGCCGCGGAAAAGAAGAGCATGTCGCAGAACCCGACTCCGTTCCGCGGAAAAGAAGAACATGTCGCGCTATGTGTCGCGTGTCCAGAATATTCGTGAACTTCTTCAGGAAAGAGATGTCTCGATCGTCAAAATCAGTCGCGAAGCCAACTCTGTGAGCCATGGCTTAGCACAGTTAGGTAGAGAGCAAGTGAAAACTGCAGTTTGGCTAAGAAATTTCCCTCAGGAAATTGCCATAGCTATGAACACCGATTGTATCTCTATTGCTAGCTAATATATTCACTCTTTCACAAAAAAAAAAGGCTTGCGAGAGACATGGAAGAGTCGAGGGTCATGTTGTAGAATACTAGTATCTTGGATGATGAAGGCAAGAAATGGTTGATTGGTATGAAGAAGAGGATCAACGAGCGCAACAATGAAGGCGTTTCATTTTTTTTGCAGGGGGAATAATGTATTACTCAACTCATAATGTTCATATAAACAGTCGTAACTAGCTCTACTACATCTAATGGGCCAGAACCAACCCAAGTCATATATCTACCTTCTCTATGAGCAAACTTAGCTAAATTATCGCTGACCTTATTTTAAGTACGATTGGCATAAGTAATATATGATTCCCGAAGACACATGAGGTGTCTAATCTCCTTAATGAGTGAGGAGTAGACCGATCTATCTACTTCCTGAGTTTGAATCAACTTGACTGCAACACTAGAGCCCATCTCAACCTTGCTTGACAAGTCACTCCTCTGGACGGCAAACAACAAGCGTTCCATGCAAACACATAATTCAGCTTACATGGCTTCACGGCGCAAGTAGAGTTCCCTGCAAGAAGACAAGACAATGCTAACCTTGTCGTCCCTCAACACCATACCCGCGCCTGTTGTACCATCATTTGCATCATATTTGTTGGGGATCGTAGCAGAAAACAAAAAAAAATCCTACGTTTCACCAAGGTCAATCTATGAAGTCAACTAGCAACGAGAGGAGAGTGTATCTACATACCCTTGTAGATCGCGAGCGGAAGCGCTCAAGAGAACGGGAATGATGGAGTCGTACTCGCCGTGATCCAAATCACCGATGACCAAGTGCCGAACGGACGACACCTCCGCGTTCAACACACGTACGGAGCGGATGACGTCTCCTCCTTCTTGATCCAGCAAGGGGGAAGGAGAGGTTGATGAAAATCCAACAGCACGACGGCGTGGTGGTGAATGCAACAGTGATCGCAGCAGGGCTTCGCCGAGCTTCTGCGAGAGGGAGAGGTGTAGCAGGGGAGAGGGAGGCGCCAAGGCTTGAGGTGCGGCTGCCCTCCCTCCCCCCCTTTATATAGGCCCCCTAGTGGGGTGCGCCGGCCCTAGGAGATGGGATCTCCTAGGGGGGCGGCGGCCAAGGGGGTGGAGTACCCCCCAAGGCAAGTGGAGGCGCCCCCTCCCCTAGGGTTCCCAACCCTAGGCGCATGGGGGGCCCAAAGGGGGGTGCACCAGCCCACTATGGGCTGGTTCCCCTCCCTACTTCAGCCCATGGGGCCCTTCGGGATGGGTAGCCCCACCCGGTGGACCCCCGGGACCCATCCGGTGGTCCCGGTACAATACCGGTGACCCCCAAACTTTCCCGATGGCCGAAACTACACTTCTTATATATAATTCTTCACCTCCGGACAATTCCGAAACTCCTCGTGACGTCCAGGATCTTATCCGGGACTCCGAACAACTTTCGGATTACTGCATACTCATATCTATACAACCCTAGCGTCACCGAACCTTAAGTGTGTAGTGATGCGACCTGTTGTAGTA